CCGGGACCGGGACCGGGACCGTCTCAGCCCCTCGGCCAGCCCCCGGGCAGAAGAATGGCGATAGCCGCGGTGAGCGCGGCGGAAACCCGGCTCTGCGGGAATTGGTGAGAAACGAAACCGGGCGCTGGGCGGGGGCGCGGGCTGAGAGCGGGCGGTCTGTCCCCTCCGGAGCCTTCGAAATACTCCAGAGTGCCTGTTGATAATGAACATACTGTCGTCTTAGAAATGTTTTGGCGTTGGGTTTAGCTTCTCAAGTAGTTGTGGGGGTTTAGTTTGGCCATGAGGAACAGCTGCTTTCCTGAAAGTGTTGCCCAGGCTGCCCAGGGCAGTGGTGGAGTCCCCACCCCTGGAGGGGTTTCCAAGCTGTGGAGATGTGGGGTGAGGGACACGGGGCAGTGGGGACCTGGCAGTGCTGGGGGACATTTGGACTCCATGATCTTAAAGGTGTCTTCCAACCAAAACGATTCGATGGGTCTGTGAACGTGTTATAATTTTCCAAGCCTTTATTGAAGTTTCTGCCTTAACAAGAACTAGATAGAAACCAAAGTATTCCAATAGAAAGAAAGACTTATTTTTCAGCACGGTACACATGAGGGACACGATTCCCAGTTTCTCTTCAGCACCTCTGTGGCTCAGAAGCAGAGATGTAAAAATAGAATCTGTGGGCACATATTGTTGTGGCTGGTGCTTCTTTTTGATAACCGTTTTCTTTCTTTAGTCTATTACCAGTGTTGGTAACCACACTTACTGATAATAATGTAATCTTAGAAGTTTCATCTTGAATATAAGCAACAAAAGAAGTTAACTTTCTTTTTTTTTTTGAGATGCCAGAATCCAACAGTTTCTTGCAGCATCAGCCTCGTTTGTTTGCAGGCAGTGAGTTCAGTGAGGAGTGAGCACAGTTCAAACCCTGCTGTTGGCTGCGTGGGGTCTGGCAAGGGAGGCAACTGAGCAGCAGTAGATGTTTCCTGTGTGACAGGGAGGGTGCTAAGCAAGAGCTTGTAAGTTAATTTTGGTGGTTTGCAGTTTGATTTCTTGGGGGGGAGGAATGATACATCTAGAAATGTCGTCGCCTGCTTGAGGCAGGAATGAGGGCTGAGCTCCTGGTGCCTTGGTAATTTTTGGACCTCTTTGTGAGCCTTGAATCCTTCTGAAGAGAGGAAAATGAGTATTTTAGAACTGAGGTGAGTTGGGGAATTTGGGTACTGCTCTCATTCACTGAGCAGGTCTGGCCTGACAGGAGCTGTTAGTTGTGTTTCCCAAGCAGAGCAGTACTCGACCTCTCATAGCCAAGTTATTTTCAGGAATAAACCTTCCCCAGATTAGTTTCACAACTCAGACCTGGTGATAATTTGTGGATGCTGCAAAATTTGTCTTTTGCATGAGGAAATAAATCCCCTTTGATTTTATCTTAATGCAGTGTGACAGTCATGGCTCTTGCCTGCTCTGTCTGTTAATATCCCCCCTCTGGAGGACCACCGAGGCTTGGCTGGGTTTGTCTTTCTAGTCACTCAGTTCTCTAAATTGTGAACTCATAGAAAGCTTTCTTAGGATTTTTTTTGTTATGAAAAGCTGCTCGACATTGTTGTCAGTGTATTTTCTGCAGAGTAACTTCTGTGACTTTCT